CAACAAATTACAAATTCTCTTGAACTATAAAGTACACCAAACATTTTTTTAAAGATCGGATCTTATTCCTTCTTAAGTTCAGTTCAATCTTGTTGGACGATTCAATATACTTGTAATGCATCTTTTGTTAAAATTAATATTTACACAACCCTATTCTCTAGATGTTTCCATTGCCTAGCTACAAATGGTAACAAACACCAACCCTTCCACGCGTAAAGTGCACAATGTCCCCAATTCATCTGAAAAATAAGTGTCAATAGCAATCCTCGCAGGTTTCAGGCCATCACCTGAAATGACAAAGTGATAAATGAGGCCACATTTCAATTCATCAAGTGATAATTTCCAGATACGACAAAGGCAGCCACAACAGACCGCCCGAAATGACACTCTGAATTATTCAGAGGCGAGTACGTTTCAGGAATTGAAAATTTTAAGCCATTACTTCAAAGTTTCTCAGACAATAGAGACCTACGTCTCACCGTTGTTTTTCTTCGAGCTTAACACGGCTTTCGCAATTTGCGTCGCTGAAAAGGCAGTCTGCATTTTGGTTCAATTTTAACGAGCTGCAACGCTGACAAATATTTTATCTTTTTCAGTGCAGTCACATCTTGTCGTCGAGCAAACGGTATTGAACTAGGATTTTATTAGATAAACCAATCTTTTCACTTTTTTGGAGCTGCGCTGTCACTGATGCAAGCAATTTATCTTCGAGTGAAGAATCAGGTCTCGGCTTTTTCCGTACATGCGTTACAGATTTATTTATTTATCGTAGCCTAGATCTCGTCCTTGAAAGGTTTACTTAACATCAGGCCCTTTTTGGACGTTCAGGAGATGATAGGTTAATATGCAAAGAGCGTGCTCCTGTAATAATTCGCGTAACTCGATTAGTTAAAAAATGGAGGAAGCGCCGGATTAAATTTATTAGCATACATTATATTTCACAATTTCTCTAAAATATAGAAGTTGACACGACAGCGCTGAATACAATTCTGCTGTAAATATTTGTGAAGAAAAATCCAGTTTTTAGCGGAGTGGAGTCGCGACCTAAAAACCTTCCCGAAATTTGAAAAAAAAATTCGTTGATGGTTATTTCCACGGAAGATTATAAAAAATTTGTGTGACTTTTGTTTTCTGATAATCTCTATAAAAGTTTACTTCAATTTTTCAATTCTTCAATGTTTATTTTTTTTGTTTCTTCAGTTTTTCTGTTTGAAATGTTTCGTTTCGATTTTTGTTTTTTTTATTGTTTCGATAAACATGATTTTTTTTTCAATTTTGATTTTTTCATTACTTCGTTTCTTCAATTTTTCGCTTTGCGATTTTTCTTGAATTTTTTTAAATTTTTGCCATTTTTTGGTTCATTAATTTTACATTTCTTCAAATTTTCGATTTGCAATTTTTCGTTTTGGTTTTTATTTTTTTTATTTTTACAATTTATCGATTTTTCAATGTTCCAATTTTACAATTTTTTGTTTTTCCAATTTTAATTGTTTCAATTTTTGGTTTCAGTTTATCAAATTTTCGTTTTCTTTGGCTTCTTCAATTTCTCAAGTTTTCAATTTTTCGATTCATTAATAATTATTAATTTCTTCAGATTTTCAACTTGCAAATTTTCGTTTCGGCTTTTTATTTTCTTTATTTTATAATTTTTTAATTTCAGTTTGTTTAATTTTTTGTTTCTTCAATTTTTAGATTTGCAATTTTTCAATTTTAGAGTTTTTATGATTTTTTTTTAATTTCTTCAATATTCATTCAGGTTTTCATTTAAATTTTTTTTAAGTTTTCTGTTTTTCAATTTTTGGATCTTTCAGCTTTTAGTTTTTTAAATTTTTGATTTCTTCAATTTTTCGGCTTCGCACTGTTCTGATTTTATAATTTAATTTTTCTTTTTTTCAGTGACGGAGCTTTCAGTTTTTGGATATTTCAATTTTTCGATTTGCAATTGTTCGGTTTTCTATTATTTGATTTTTCAAATTTTATATTTTTTAATTTTTTCGCTTCTTCAATTTTAGATTTTTCGTTTCTTGAATTTTTAATCTGCAGTGTTTCTAGTTTTCATTTTAAGTATGTATCTAATTATAATTATAATTTAAAAAAAAAATTACTTTTTCAATTTTAGCCTTTTACATTTTTCCAATATTTTAAATTATTTTAAATTTTTTAATTATTAGATTTTAAAATGTTTTCATTTATTCGATTTTTAAATTTTTTGAGTTTTCATATTTCAGTTTCTCGATATTTAATTTATCAATGTTACCTTTTTTCCACTACATAATTTCCATTTTACAATTTTTTGATTTTCCAATTTTTACATTGGATTCGCTTTTTATTCTTTACAATTTTTCGATTCGTCAATTATTTTCGAATTTTACGTTTTTCAATTTTTAGTTTTTCAGTCTTAATTTTTCGTTTCTTATTGATTCTTTGGTTTGCAATTTTTCGATTTTCCAATTTTTCGATTTGAAATGTTTCGTTTCGGTTTTTCATTTTCTTTACTTTTACAATTTGCCGATTTTTCAATGTTCCGATTTTATCATTTGTTGTTTTTTTTAATTCTTAATTTTTTCAGTGTCTCGCTTCTTCAGATTTCGCTTTACGATTTTTCAATTTTTCATTTTTTTGTTTCTTCAGTTTTTTGCTTTTGCAATTTTTCGATTTAAAGCCTCTCGAGTTTTCAGTTTTTCATTTGCCAGTTTTTGGATTCTAAGAATTTTTGCATTTTTCAAATTTTCGATTTGCAGTTTTTCGCTAGGGTTTTTTCTTTTCTTTATTTTTACAATTTCTCGATTCTTCAGTGTTCCGATTTTATAATTTTTTTTTTTCTATTTCAACTCTCAATTTTTCGTTTCTTCAGTTTTCTGATTTTCAGTTTTTCAATTTTTATTTTTTTCCTCAATTTAACAATTGAGTTTTTTCGATTTTCCAATTTTTGAATGTTTCAAATTTTATATTTTCCATTTTTCGATTTGTAATGTCAGGAGTTTTCAGTTTTTAATCTTTCGATTTTTAGATTTTTCAATTTTTTATTTCTTTAACTTTTCAGCTTTTCAATGTTCTGATTCTATAATTTTTCTTCTGTCAATGATTTTTCAATTTTTGGAGTTGCAATTTTTCGGTTTTCAATTTTTTGATTTTTCAACTTTTAGATTTTTTTACTTTTAGTTTTTCAACTTTTCGTTTCTTCAGTTTTTGATATGCAATGTTTCTAGTTTTCATTTTCAATATGTATCTAATAAATAATAATAATTGTTATTAAAAAAAATCACTTTTTCCATTTTATGATTTCAGAATTTTCCCATTTTTCAACTATTGGATTTTAAAATTTTTTCATTTATTCGCTATTTATTTATTTTTTAATTTCTCTATATTTGATTTTTCAATTTATTCCATCTTTCAGTGCTACAGTTTTTCTGTTGTACCATTTTGAGGATTCTGTAATTTTTCAATTTTACAATTTTTCCATTCATTAATTTTTTTCGAATTTTAAGTTTTTCTTGTTTTATTTATCAATGCTTCAATTTTTCGTTTTTTCAGTTCGATTTGCAATTGTTAGATTTCAAATTTTTTCGATTTTTTTTTGATTTTTGGTTTTTTCAGTTTTTTAAATTTTTGATTTTTCTATTTTTTCCGATTTTTTAATTTTCGAATCGTAAAAATGGAAAAATTGTAAAATTGGAAAGTCAAAAATGAAAAAACGATAAAGTGTAAAATGAAAACTTTGAAGAATCCAAAAACTTCAAGAACTTGAAAAATTGAAAAAACGGAAAATTCAAAAATCAAAAGAATAAAAATTGAGAAACTTCAAAAGCGAAAAAGTGGTAAATCAAGAAAATGAAATATTGTAAAATCGAAATAATGAAAATTAAAGAAATCGTCAAATCGAATAATTCAGATACTACCCAAAATTACAGAATCGAAAAATTTAAAATTTGGAAAATCGGAGAATTGAAAAATCGAAAATTGAAAATTCTAGAGTGTAATAAACGAAAAATTATAAAATCGAAAGAAACATTGAAAAAGTAATTGAAATGAAAAACGAAAAATTTTGAGATAAAATGGGAAAATTAAAAATCAAGCACGTGAAAAATTGAGGATATTAAAAACTGAAAAATCTAAAAATAAAAAATTGTAATATCCAAAATACTGCAAAATTGAAAAATTGCAAATCGAAAAAATGAAAAAAGCGAAAATTGAAAAATTGAAAAAATTAAAGTCGCATAAACAAAAAACATTGAAAAGGAAAAAAATGAAAAATTAAAGAATGAAAAAACGAAAAATTGTGATATCAAAAAATTGGCCGAAGGTAAATAAATTCAGACATCTCTAAAAATTAACTATTTGATTTTGGGAATTTTATTTTTTGATGATATATAATTATAAGTTAAAATATCTGTAAAGAAGCGTGCTACGCCTTGATTTCTTGTGAGTTTTTCCATTACAAAATTTTGTGAAGACACGTATATTAATTTGGATAGATACAATATACTTAATATTAACAATAATAGTACTGTATTCACAAATTTTCGGGAAAAAGGAGTTAGTCGTTCTTGATTTAATCAATACAATAAACTGCCTCAGTCATTATTTTTTTTGAGTCAGCCTGTATAAGTAAATCTAAAAACTATGAGTGTACTGATACTGCATACTGTTACGAAATAAGCCCATACGCCGCCCCGGTACGACGCCTATGTGTCTTCTAGCATGTACGCGTTGTTTCTCGCATGTCGTCTGTAAAGTCACTAGATATATAAAGTACCGCAATTGGGCGCCATATTGTGTCCGCGCCAAATTCAAAATAAATAAATAAAAATTAACGGACTCGATACTTGCGTACAAAGCGTAAATGTAGATTTTTTTCAAATAAACATTTATTTATGTTTAAGCGTTATTTGTTCAGTGCACTTAAATGCCATTGATAAACATAAGGGGTGAGTAAAAAATATAGATGAGAAACCTTGCAATACCAGTTTATTAACAAAATTTCGGCCGCAACAGTTTCCTTCCATCTGCTCGCTTTGCTTCGAATTGTTGTTCAGAAAAATGTAACTAAAAGTAAATGGTATTTAACATTGTGCAATTACATATTCAAGCTTTAGCAAATTACTTCGCAAATTCTGGAGTTGTCGTTCAAATCGTCCCGGCCTATTAAATTCTCCCACATCTCTCTTCTAGACCTATTACTAACACCTGCAACAATTTAAATTAGTTGAGAAAACTCAACTGAAAACTTAGTTGTAACCTACCTGTTGGAAGACGAAACAATCGGCTTTTATTTTTACACAAAGGAACAGAACAACTTGGCATTTTAAAATAAAAGTCATAAAACACCACAAAAAAAACACAAACAACTTTACAAAAAACACAAACAACTTTGCAAAAAACACAAACAACTTTACAAAAAACACAAACAACTTTGCAAAACAGAACTTACGCCACGAGGTGATGCGTTAAAGAGCGTTTGACAATTAACATTGACGTTTGTCGGTCGCCATATTGTGTCCGAAATATACGTTCTCTCTCTAACACATTGAAACATTCAATTGCGGTACTTTGGTTATCTAGGGACTTTAGTCGTCTGACTCATCGACCGCGCGGATACAAGCGGATGTCGCGACGAGCCCAGAAGAAGTCTCGAAGCGGCGCTCGAAAAGCCTGGAAGCGGATGTCGCGAATACTCAAATCGAGAAAGAGCTGGATCGCCGAAATATGGATTTAAATAGAGGCCACCGTCGGGAATGATTCATTCATTATTCAGTCAAGAGTGGAGTGCATTTAAGTTGCGAAGTTGTTTTGTACGTAATCGCAGTTAGTCATGTAAATACCAGTTAAAGAAATAAATTGTTGAGTTTTTACCTACGCCCGATTAATTATTCGCCCGTCAAACGTAACAATACTTTAGATGGAATTTATTCAGCAAAATTTTGAGATGACGTCATTAATTTTTTGGATTCATTAACGATTTGGTAAATCTGTTTACGATAACTTCACAGTTAAATTACAAGATGTTAGTAGTTTCAAAGATTTAATAAAAATCCGGACAAACGACAGACAGACAGACAGACAGACAGACGGAAACGGGAGACCTATTCCTTCGTACACTAGGGGTCATGAAACATCGAGAAAACACAAGAGTACCGAGTCGACTGAAGTTTGAAAGTCCAGTGAACTAAATAAAAATAAACCATGTAGGAAGAGTTGTGTACTAAATTCTAAGAATTTAGTTCTTAACCTTTTCTTTAACTGAAACACTGGAATTGAGCTTAGTTTTTTGGCGCCTTTTCCTTAATCCGCGCAATTATGTTACTTCTCTGGAAAAGATAAAACTGTTAAGATTATTTTTTCGCCGTCGCGGCACCGAAACTTTCCTCATTTCAAGCAGAGAGGGACAGAAGGTAAGTTCCCGGCTGTGAAATTTAAGAAAACATTTCTTAATTAATCAAACGGCCGGTTATGGCAAACCGCGAGTGTCGCTTTTTAATAAAGCGAACGTTTCCAAATAAAATAACAAAGCAATTTTGTTGCGTCAAGACCGCTTAACCGTCAGCTGTTGGCGTCCCAATAAAGAAAAATAAATTATGTTGCGCACAAAGTTGATTTGGGACTTTGTTATTTATGTAAAGGTGGTTGCGATGGTCTGACATATGTTGTAATAATTTTAAAGCCCTCATTTTTATTGCCGCCACTAAATCTTTAGAACAATATAAAAAATACTGCTGGGAAAGTTAAGGGCTTTTGTTATCTGGAGATACTTGCCATCGTAAATTCCACTAAGCGAGGGTAACATGTTGTAATTTTTTCTCGGCTTTCCTTGGAATATAGGCCTATATATTACAATCTCAGGCGTCGCACAATCAGAACCTATCGTACACAGCTTGGTTGATACAGCGGGTTTAAATCTTACCTTAGCAGGTATGAATTAATGAGAACAAACACGGGCTTATCTGAGAATGAAAAAATATATTAGTGATCAGTGTTGTATTGGCGTTGTAAAACTTCCAAAGTTATTGCAGCGACGTGGAAGTTTACATAAGACGCGTATTTTATTAAATATAAGGAAAATAAAACTGTCAAGAGTAAACACGCTGAAATGAAAATTTTTACAAAACGCGCTCTCGACCCCTTTTCTCTTTAGTAATTGTGGTATATGGGTGACTGCAAACTTGATTATAAAGAATGGAAAACTTTTCCGAGACTGGAATAGTAAAATTAAATTTGAAAATATTCACAAATACGTGAAATATAAGGCGTTTAAGATGTTGCTATTTTATTAAATTTGGATTAAGGGAAGGTGGAACAAAATCTAATAAACCAAAAGTTGCTTGGATCAATAAAAATAATTGAACAGTAAAAACTAAAATAGTTTCTGCTGAAGATCAAAGAATCATAAAATTGGAAATTTTAAATATACATTGAACGAAAAAATTATAACCATAGGGGACAGAGTAAGACTAGATTTATATTTGAATTGTTGTAGACACATCTGGATAATCCTGTTTAAATTCAAAATGCAAAATATGGACGACAACATTGATTATTCCTCCATTTTTGCGAAGAAAAAACTAGGAATAAGCGAACTTATTTCCGAGCTCCAAAAACTGCTCCAGCTTTCAAAAATGAAATCAAATGCTGCAAATCAAAACAAACATTTAAGTATCGCAAATTTAAATACAAAGAAAATGGAAATTACCTTAAAAGTAACTGAATGCAATTACCCAATAATACAACAATATCATACGTCACTATGCCCAAAACACCTGCCGGATATTATACTTTCTACCCGTTCTTCCCAAAAACTGCGTGGGCGCGGGTCTTCGGATGAAGTTTACAATTAAAACCCATCTAAGCAAATGACATTAAAAAACGTACGTGATCTTGTGCTTTTATTTCAGTTAAAATTCAAATCCTATCTCTCTCCATAATGATAACGAATGCGTATTAGAATTACAAAAACTTACATTATGCCAAATTATGCATTAATTCAAGTTCAAAGTGAGTTCATTAAGAATACATCAAGGACCCAGAGATTTCAATATCACATAAACATAACAAGGCACAATCAAAATCAAAATAATAAATCCAAAATGTTCAAATTCAAGCTGTAAGAAAATAATACAATAATATAATATAATACATGAACATAAAATACACCTTGATTTCCAGCCCATAATGGCATTAATTTAACTGATGATAATTTTCAAGGCCCTTCTCTCAAAATGGAATACCGTTTAAGATTAGTTTAAATGATATAATAAATGAACTATTTTAAATCTCGAGCCAGAAGTTATGAAGTGTGGATACTGTACATATAATTATTTAAGTAAAAATTTGGTCCAAGGTTATTTCGGCAGAACTTCCCTGGCCCTTGAAATATAATCCGACAAATCCCACTTCTTTAAAACATTATAAAATTTTGATTTTGCCGATTCCGTTTTGTGATAACCTATATAAAATAAAAAACAACGGCATAAATAACACCCCCACAACCCCTGCGGTCCCAAGTACGGACAATGTAAAATATATTTAAAGCACATAACCATTCGAGATACGCAAAGTGTCCTCTCAGCACTATTGGCAACATTAAGTTCAAGTGTTTGTGTTTATACATGGAAAGAATGTCAGGTAAAAATGACTTTGATTTGAATAAGTTTGCCTTCTGAAAACAGAGGACTAAAATCATTAACCAATTAAACTACATTCCAACAAAATGTTCTGAACATTATAATTCGTATTTTATCATTATTAAATAAACCCGTGCGTATTCTTATTTTTTTCCGAAAATTTGAACAAGTATAGCAGTATATTGTTGTATAATATTCAAATCATTTTAATACAGAATTCATTGAGATGACGTCATAAAATTGTTGGTGGGGGCAATTAGCCAAATTTTGATTAGCGTTTAACCAATTACATGATATTTCTGTTATACATACAAAATTTGAAGATAATCGGTGCAGTAGTTTCGGGGATTACGTGTCTAATAAAAATGGATACAGACGCCAGACAGACACAGAGACGGAAACGGGAGATTATTTTTTCGTATTCGTCAAGAAAACATGAAAGTGTCAAGTCGCCCCATGGACTCGATTACTATACTTATTACGCTCGGGAAGTAAAATAACCAAAATTTTTAGATATATTTATGGTTATTTACAATAATTTGCGCCTGAATAAGCGAATTTCCGCCACGTGTTTCTCATATGAACATTTACATGATTGTTGTAAAATGGTGTTAAAAGCAGGAAAAGTTAAAAATCATAACGTGAACCATGAATTTACAAACAATAAAATTCAATATGTTTAGGAAATACTCAAAGTTTTACACAGATTCGATAAGAAAACCATTAATAAACTGATATTTCACTAGTTACACTCGTTGAAGCGGACTGTAGCGTCCAACGTGAATCATTTGTGGTTAAAAAAAGTTAAAAATTAGCACTGTTGTATAACAAGTGGGTCAAAATTGCACTCCCTGGTTTGAGAATCGCGCGTCCGATTCTGAAACTTTTTCTACCTGTTTCGCATTCCGAAAATCGCTCCCCAAAACGGAAGGTAACATTAGTGTTTTGATAATCCAAACACCCCGCCATAAATTTACATGTGAAAAGAAAAAAAAAATTGAAAGCCGGCGAAAGATTCAAAAATTCAAAAATTTGGCTTTGGCTGTGATCATCTGACAAAATGGAATCCTACGTTGTGTTTTTGAAAAATGGCGGGATGCGTTCAGATGAAATGGTGGACCCCAAGGTTGGAAAAGTACCGCTAAATAAAACACAAAATATATGGAGGGCACAAAATTGTTTATTCCTCCACTGACAAAAAAAAAAAAGAAAAAAAAAGCTGCGACTAAGTTGTGCCCGTTGTGGACACGGCTTAATGTTCAGCTACAGAAAGAAAACTTTGAACGAAATCGAATTAAACGTTCTGAATCAATGCAAATATTTGAATATCTCAAATTTGATAAAAACAAAGCAAAATCTGAACTGGATGCAAATACACAAGTTATTACGGACATGTAGCGGCAAATTTAAAATTATGGCAGTCAACAAGAGAACAAAATTGTAACAAAAAATTATGCAGCGACAGCGGCACCAGAGCCGCTATAAGAGTGCGGCACTCGAACTACGTCAATTTCATTCTAGACCACAACAAAAATACCCATAGTACAAGTAGTTGTAGTACAAGTGGAATTTGGGACTCCTGGTTGTGGCTGTTCTCCTACCCACGACGTTGATTCTATCTATCGCAAGCACTGCCGTACAGCACTTCTCTATTACGGATATGCCGTACGAGCAGGCCGTTACGGTCGCAAACTCGTGGTTGAGTCTCGACTATTGGGCCAAGCGTCACGTCATGTCGACCGCCCTTAACTTCTATTAAAGCCTACATCCTTTGTGCAGATGGCGCAATAAATCCCGCTAGCTCGACTAGGAACCGCGCCCTCCGCGTTTGCCACGTATTTCGGTGTTATTTGGCCTCAATTCCATTTAAATATGACTCTCATATTAAACTACAGCTGAACACAGGTGTCAAAGTTTTAAAAGGAGCAATAAACAACATTTAAATTCGCCATACACTCTCGCGAAAATTTAAACAGCAAAGAATTCTTATGTAAGATGAAGATAATTTATATGATCGAAACATTCATCAACAAAATATTTACATGAAAAAAACTAGGAAAGATTTATAAAAAACAAAAAGATCTGGTGGGAAGTAGAACTTGTGTAAACAAAAATATACGTGAGGTTAGAAACTGCAGAGCATGAAAATTTGCGTTCAATGTAAATTAGCACTGCTGAACAAAAAATGTTAAAAAAAAGTTTCTAAAAAAATTGCGTTAAAATTGCTTCGTGTGAACTTTTTTTTATAGAAACGACGTACAATATAAGTTTGTTATTGTTTTTACTTCATTGACTTATAACAGAAAAATGTCGTCAGATACAACTTCTTCAACATCTGGCAAAATGCGATATTTTTAACAGGATTTTAGTCGCATCACTTTAAGCTCTTGCAGCTTTAAGCTGTTTGTTCTCAATGTTGTTTCTTAATATTTTTATTTGAAAAGTCTTTAGAACTGTACATAAGATTCATCGCCACCGGTGAGATTTTGCTTTTTTCTTTCTAAGAACATTATTGTACGGGCATAAAATTGTTAAGAAGGTGGATTGTTAAACTATTACTCTAAGTACGGAATCGTTATTTTATTCCGCCGTATTATATTTCTTGTAACTCCCAGGAAAAAAAAACAAAATAATTGGTGATCAACTTTTTTATAAAGAATCATCCGTTTGACTTTACGTCCCATTATTCTGCACATGTTTTGGTAGCATTTCTACTAATATTGTAGATTATAACGTTAATTACCCCATCTAAACAGTTTAGTTTTGTCTAGATGATGCCAACATGGTTGGCGAAACGCCTCGACAATTTTGCTTTTACATCGAGTGATCAAAGAAGAGTCCCAAAGTAAGTTACAAAGAAAACTATTCTAAAATATGTATAAGGAAAATTGGAATTGTTTATTTCATGGTATAGATTCTTAATGAAATTTGCGAAATGAATGAATAAATAAATTTTGTTGCTAACTTAAAGTTATTGTGAAGAAGTTCGTTTATAAACTGTAAGATAAATAGTAAAGCTTGATTACTAGTTCACGGGGATTCCAGGGACATGTTAAAATTTTGGTAGCTTCACAACGTATCTGTTTAATAAATCGCTAACAGACAGATACAAAGAAAAACCGGCGAAAATGAGAAACCTAAATTTTCATATTCAACAGTGAACATCAACGTCAACGAAACGCAAAATTAGGAACTCATCCAAATGACCTCGTTACATTACTTCTTTTTGGCTGTCGCACGCAAGGAAAATTCGTGAACCTAAGTAATTACTACAATTATCATAATAAGTACCGAAAAGTATCTGATAGTCTGTTTTAATTTCCAGGAGCCGCTCCAGCCAGCAATCAGCATGTCCGACAACAGCAGTTGCCCGCAAGACCCCGGCAATTTCTCGACCATCTTCGGACAAACAGACGTCGCCCAGTGGGAAGCGCTCCTAACGATCGTCACTCTTACATTCATCATCCTTCTGACGATAATTGGGAACGTGTTAGTGATCCTCAGCGTCTTCACATACAAGCCCCTCCGCATAGTGCAAAACTTCTTCATAGTGTCGCTTGCGGTAGCCGACTTGACGGTCGCCATCCTCGTTATGCCGCTGAACGTAATCGTGTCAATATTGGGACGTTGGGTCCTCGGCATACACATCTGTAAAATGTGGCTGACATCAGACGTCCTTTGTTGCACCGCTTCCATCCTTAATTTGTGCGCGATAGCCTTGGACCGCTTCTGGGCCATCACTGATCCGATCAATTATGCCCAGAAGCGCACCTTGAAAAGGGTGCTGCTAATGATAGGAGGAGTCTGGGTCTTGTCCCTTTTAATCAGTTCGCCGCCTTTGATCGGCTGGAACGACTGGCCTACGCCGGAAGAATTCGACAACGTGCAAGTTTGCAAACTGACCGAACGACAAGGTTACGTCATTTACTCGTCGTTGGGTTCGTTTTTTATTCCGTTGTTCATTATGACAATAGTTTACGTAGAGATATTCATAGCGACGAAGAGGCGTCTGAGGGAAAGGGCGCAAGCGTCCAAGATCAACGCCATCTCGAAGAACCAGTCCGCTTTGATAAGCAACAAAGAGGCACAACATGACAGAGAGAGCGTGAGTAGCGAGACGAACCACAATGAACACCCGGAGAACACGGCGAACGGAAAGACCAAAGAAAAGAAGAAGAAGCACAAGAAGAAACGGAAAGACGACAACGCCGAAAACAATACGTACTTGAAGCCCATTCTAGTCCACGAAGATTCCTTGACAGACAATCCAGAGACTTCTTCCATTTCGCAGAGACGCAGTTCTAACCCTTGCACTTCTGATAACCACAAGATCATCTCCGAATGTACCACGGTGTCTAATTCCCCTCAATCCAAATGTAGCAACCTCAACAAAGTTCTTCTTCCTGAGTCCAACGTTGTGAAAAAGCCCGGAGTGATCTACCAGTTCATCGAAGAAAAACAACGTATTTCTCTGTCTAAGGAAAGGCGTGCTGCTCGAACCCTCGGTATAATAATGGGGGTATTTGTGGTGTGTTGGTTGCCCTTCTTCATTATGTACGTCACGATCCCGTTCTGTCCGAGCTGCTGCCCGTCTAAAAGACTCATAAATTTCATCACATGGTTAGGTTACATTAATTCAGTGCTCAATCCTATTATTTACACGATTTTTAATTTGGACTTCCGACGTGCTTTCAGGAAGCTTTTGGGGATGCGGCCGTAAGTTCTCGACGCGTGTGTTTGCAAAAATTTTATATATCCGTCGACAACTACTTGATGATTCCCGTGTTATTTTAACAAAGACTGATATCCAGTAGAAACGTTAGAGAGTTGCATTTTTGATGTAGGTTCATGTTTAAATAAGACAAATTTGTTATGTAGAGCATTCCATGCTAATGTGTGTCATCGAATGAGCTTGCCATTTCTGTCACGAAGCATTAGAGCCCAATGCTTCCAAACGGATTTGGCAAAGATTTACGCTTATTTATATTGTTAATGTACATTGTTGGACGTCATCTTCAATCTGTAAATTTGCTTATATTGTATATATAGAAAAGCGCAACTATTAAGGTAGTTCTCTCAGTGACAAAGTCTTTTGTGTGATATTTACATTAAACTCAGAACCTATAATACATAGTTAGATTTAAAAATTAAAAGCGGTTTCTAATTTATGCAACAATAATTATTACCTCAATTGATACCTCTAGTATAATCATATTTGTTTCGCAGTTTTAGTAGTAGGCAAAGTGTATGCTGTTCAAAGCGATTTCAAATATGTAATTTTATCTTATATATTTTTTTATATCTAAGTTAACGGATATAGGGTGAGTTCAAACAAAGGTAAACTGTGTACATAGGCTATCTTAATCCTGTTGTATTTATTATGCGAAGTGTTTAGAAGTTTAAACTACTTTTGACAACTCACCCTCTATCAGCATTTTTGAGTGTATAAAATGTTTTAGAGTTCAATAAAATCAACATTTTTGTTTACTAGTGTTTTTCTAGTTTTAAGTGTTTATCGTTAACAAGGTTATGAATGTGCCTCGAAGTGCGAAAACAAAAACCCACAAGTCCGAATTAAAGCGAACGCGTCAGAAGCGGAATGCGATAAAAATAAACACTTACATCAAACAACTCAGATTCAAGTTTACGTCACTAGAACTAAAAGCTCAAATACACTGCCAGACAAAAACAAACACTTCAATTTTTGTGATTGCTTGTGATTGGTCGAACTTTTGTAAAAAATTAAAACATCAATGTATTCACTAACAAAAAAACGTAACTTTATTTTAAAGCATGTGAAAACAGAAAAAGTAAAAAAAAGTTATAACACTAAACATTAGCGTAAAGTTACAAATATTCAAGTGTCCGGAATTTTTTGACTGGCAGTGTACTTAAAATTCAGGCCACTATTATACACACAGGTTATATATACTACTATAGACATATATACCAACTCTAGAGAAAGTAACAAATATTCGAATAGTAACATTAGGCGACTTTTTGTAATTTTTGATCTCTAACATTAATGAAATAAGCTATACACAGTATTGTACTTTCAAATTTTTGGGAAAAATGAAGTACGCCGTTCCTGATTTATTCATGAAAATAAACTGACTAATTTTTTTTAGTCACTCTGTATGAGTAATTCTAAAAAAAATTGAATACAATGACAAATCAGAAATGTAGACTCATCACATTTGACACAGTTTAGACAGGATTTATTTGACAAAATTTTGAAATGACGTCATCAATTTTTGAGGGGACATACACAAATATATTGTGATTAAAAATTTACCGTACTTACGATAACTTGCTTTAACACATCTGCAAGATTTCAAAGCATTCGGTATTGCAGATTGAAAATTAAATTACAAAATGTTGTTAGGTATACAATTTTGAGTTTTTTTTCAAAAATCTGGATGTTTCGGGTAAAAACTCAACACGGATTCATAAACTACACGTATAGGAGTATGCTATTTTATACAATTTAAAACCCATTTATTATGTACAATTTTGAGGTGCCGTCATCAAACTGTTGGTGGAGATGATTAGCCAAATTTTAAATGTGACGTGCCTGAAACATTTAATAACCATATTCATAAATAAAATGCAATAAATGAATCATAGCGTTAGGATATTTTATTATTGTTAGAAAAATCATGTCGCCTAGCAATAATCACACCTACACAGTGTTTAAACAGATATTAAATATAAATCTCTAAAGAAAGATAATAATACATTTAAAAGACAAAGTTTTGAAGCGCTGCATTATAACTTAGTTATGCTATTGTTGTTAATTGTTGTTACTTTATTAGTTTTAGAACGAAGGGAAAATTTGCGTAATTACCCCAAACAATGATAAACCACAGTTACACAAATTCAGTCACATAACGCGGAGGGATATTTTATAAAATATATTCCATTTTGCTGGAGGCACAGCAACGTACGAAATATCACAGCAGTTCTATATTCCGGATTCTATCCTCCGCTAAGTCCGTTGCAAATCAAATGCTTTTCATAAGATGCACTAGCCACAAGCAATATGTGTTCAGTGTCCATGAAGAGATGTCTCTTTGGGTTTTATGATTTTTCTTTCATATTCCGCTGCTCCCGTAAAGCATTGTTGATTTATTGCATCTACAACGGGTATTTAGGAAAGACTGATTGCACTACATCCTACACAGGTAAGCGGGAAAATTATTACACCCCGAAATTATTATGCAAATAATGTTGCATATTTGCCTAGGTTAATTGTTTACTGTGGCAGTGAATCAAGGTGGTTGTTTTGTTTACTTGTCTCTAAAGTTTACAATACCGCGTTTAAAAAAAAGAGGGTTTGTAGTGATAAATATTAGTTTACTTGTCCTATTCTGTTGTTATCTACGTCATATTGTTGAGATTAGAATTTAAAGGTGGTTTTGAGAACAAGGTGCTCCACTTTTTATGTTGCAAGTGTTATTTATTACCGGTTTAAATAACTTCAAATTAGCTTCTGATATAAAACAACACAAGAAAAGCGTTTATCAGCTCTAAAGAAATCCAGATTTTTATTTTAGCTTAGATCTCTAACAGAACTCCTTATCAAATATGACATTTTATAAATTGAATTTGTTCTTTCTTGTTTGGACTGCATCTCCGAAATTCTATATTATTGTTGCTTTGGCCTGGAAATCTCCCCGGATTTTATGAAAATAGAATGCAAATCGAACAACCGCTTAGGCAAATTTTAGAGATCACCCCGAGATTGAAAAACTTTCTCAATTCCTACTTAAATAAATATAAAAATATACAATTCATTCCAGAAAGCCCAGGTATTTCGGTAAACCTTTTCAACTTAAATCTCTCTTTCATCAGAGTGATGTGGACCGTTCGGTTATTATACCCGCAGGATTGAAAGTAATTATCAACGGCATCAATGTTTTATTTTGGTGTATTAAAAGAGAAAAAGTTAAGTTAACAAAGTTTGGTAACTGTGTTCCCTTGCGGTTGAAACGAAGATATGTGATCAAGAACATGGTGACTGACGTCGCAAAAGCACTTTTAGGGTCGGCTGGAAGTTTTACAGCGGTATAAAGCTGGCAAATTGCTGTTCTGGTGTAAAAGGAATCAAACAAGTTTATGTATGATCTGAACACTGTACACCTTTACGTTTTGTGCCATTAACGGTTCCAACTGTGCCTAACTGTTTTATGTGGTGAACATTTGCACCGAATGGTGATAAAGTCACGCATCAAATTCATGAAGTCTTTATACGGAAAGTTGGCATAAATTGAAAGTTTCGTTTTCTGGTATTAAAATTGCTCATAACCGCTACCACAGGCACCTATTTTGGTATGCGAACTCCCAACCAAGTATTTTCCAGACAGGATTCCTTTTAGCGAAAAAATTGAAACTGCAATAAAACCCTTAACACGATGTTCGGTTTCCGCACAGTTTTAGGAAAATCAGATGGCGGGTATCGTGCGAGAGTCGATAAAATGTAGAGGTTCATATATTAGTAAAGCACCTGTAGAGGCGATTCTAAAAGACTAGAGAATATTACTGACGCGTGTTTTAAAGCATAGTCTGGAATACAAACCTCCCTAATACGTTTTTAGATCATCAAATTTTCGAAAAGTATAAAGATAGTGGATGAAATTTAAAAATGTTGCAGATTTGCCACTTTTTAATAATGGTAGATATTTTTAAAATTTCAGTTAATATGGTTAAAATGTCATCTGAGAGAATACTTATTATAACATTTGAACAATTCTCCATTGTAGTTACACACTCTGCAAGAGGTGAACAAATCAATCCCTACTGGGATGATAAAATTATTGTTGCAAATAAATTTCACACAGGGAAATGTTTTCACAAATACTAATAATAAAACAGTCCATTATGATTATATCAATTATTTATTACATAAATAAAGAATAAAGCAATTAAAGTATCAAATACTAAACTAAGCATTGGAAGAAGTTATAAAAGCCATTAGGGGATGAATTAATTTTGAATGAGATAATAAAAATGTGTGTAGACGGGACAAAAATTAAAAGTTTAGCAAAAAATCTGAAACAAATAGAACCAGCCAATAAAGATTAGCAGGTTTAAAAATCTGTGCTACCCAACAGTTGTTGCTGGCTCAACATCTTTTGAAAATATAGTTCTAAATAAACAGGGCCAGTGAAAACAGTTCCTGTTTTATTGATTTTTTTTTGCCGTGGAAGGGATTACAAAAAATCGCTAGGATTATTTTTTAAATCTATCTTAGTGTACGTTGTGAGGAGATAAATGAAAAGACACCCTTTGTTGTGATATAAATAAAATAAAATCTTCATTTACAGAGTGTTTACGAAAAAAAAATTTTCACAATTTTGTGCTTTTCAACATATGGAAAGAATGAGTACAGAAAATAGCGTGATAAAATACCAGGGTTCTATTTGATGAATCGATATTTGAAAATTTTAGACTTTTGTATACATACCCCACTAGAAAACACGTACCTCTATTTATCCCGTCACAAAATATTGTAACACAGATCTTAAAAATTTTGACAGAACTTCCCTCGACCCTGAAGTAAAATAAAGACATATATGTAACGTTAAAATAAATGTAAATTTGATCCAATGATATACCACCATAAAGTATAGATTTATCATATTTTGCACATTTTGGATGGATTTATTCGGCAAAATTTTGAGATAACGCCATCAATTTTTTGACGGGGATAAATACATAGGTTTTGACTAAAAATTTACCATGCTTACGATAAATTTAATACGTCTGCAAGATTTCAAAGCATTCGGTTGTGCAGTCCCTGATTTAATCAGTAAAATAAATTGACCCTTTCATTATTTTTTTGAGTCACCCTGTATAAGTAATTCCAAAAACTATGAGTGCGTTAATATACCAAAGTATATAGTCATAATATTTTGCATATTTCAGAGAGGATTTATTCGGCAACTTTTTGAGAAGACGTCATCAATTTTTTGGAAGGAGATAAACGAATAAACTTTGCTTAACTATTTATCATGTTTACGATAACCCTAACATATTTACAAGATATCAGAGCATTCGGTTTTTCAGTTTCAAGGTCAAATTGCAAAATATTGTTACGCAGTTTTGAATTTTTTTTGAAAAATTTGAATATCTAGGGTGAAAATTCACACGGATTCACACACCATAAGTACAACACTATATTATTGTTTATAATAAAAAAATTACTACTATAAATTTTTGGAGATGACGTGTCTAATAAAAATGGATACAGACACCGAACAGACAGACACATAGACGGAAACGGGAGACCACCTTTTTCGTACTCTAGAGGATTCTAGGAGGATTCGATTACCATACTTCCTTAGCTTCCGTTCGGGAAGTAAAAATAACCCTACTGCAACTTTTTTGTGAACTCGTCCATTGCCAGAAAATTTCAAGAAAGTTGAATAATGTTGCAACATCCCATTTGAATTTCAAAAATAAACTGTGGTTTGGTTATAAAGCCT